GCTTCGCGTGATTATAAAAAATTATAAGTTATAAATAATTTTATTAAGTATCATATAAATGAAGATGTGTCTGCAATATAATTGTTAGACATTAATTTTTTTAAAATGAAGAATAATATATAAATTCAATACATAATTAATCTTTGGAGTTTTTATTGACATCCACTCCATATGTTGATCATAATTCAACAGTTTGAATCTTATTTTTTTGAGTCAAACTAAAATATGCAAATAATAAACATAAAGAATATAACAATATCAAAAAAATAATAAATAAATGTGATGATTTCTACATAATCTAACAATATCTCTCGAAAAAATAATAATAATAATAATAAAAAGTAATGTGATAATTTCTATAAAATTTGACAATATCTTTATTTATACTACTATAATATTTAACATCAATGTGATTATATATTACATTAGAAATTAGAAAAATGAAAAGTTGTTAATGTAATGAAAATAAATATCATTAAAACATATTAAAAAAATGACTTTTCAGTTTCTTTTAACATTGTATCTAATATAATTAATAGAATTAAAGAATTGAGTTTTACATGATGAAAAATAAAGAAAAATCCCAAAAAAAAAGACAAAAAAAAAGATCAATTATAAATTAATAATCAGTTATACTTTTTCAAAAATAAGAAATTCAAAAGTTACCTTTTTGCCTACACATACAAATATATTTCTTAAATATTTCTATTCTATATATATATATATATCCAAAAAAGATGAAGTATAAGAAGTGTTATATTTTTTGATAAATGAAAGAAATTTAGGAGAAGGAAGAGAAAGTTTTCCTAAATTAACTAGTAGTATTTTATTAATGATAAAAAAATAAGATATTTTAATTTTCTTCAACATTTTACAACAAATTAATTGAGATTCGTTGAGAGAAAATTAATGGGAAGAACATATTTATGGTAATAAAAAGTAGTCATAATAAAAAGTAGAAATAGAAGGTATAATGTTGAATTATGGTAATAAGGATAAGAGTTAAATACGTTTTTTTAGAAAATTATAAAAATAGAAGGTAGAAAAAAGAATTTAAATAAAAATGATTAATTGTAGTAATAATAAAGAAAGATGAAAATTAATAAATATAATAATG